AGTGTGCTTTCCAGCGATAATTGTTTGAAAACGTGAGCCCGAGAACTTGGAGCGTCTGCACATTTAGTACTGGTAAGCCGTTAATATGTATCAGTAGGTTTCCTGCATTTGTCGAAAACAAATGTGCATTTTTTTTGATTTTTGTATAGAGATTATAGCTCCTGACGAGTTTGCCCATGTGGAGATCTCACATGCAATAGATTCGAGGATGTTGATTGCTTTCGTGTTGTCTTTTTCTTTTGTAAAAATGTATACATCGTCCGCGTAGAGACAATGTTCCACTCTTGGTACACGGCAAAGAATTTCGCTAATTTCGTTGAAAGCGATCTGGAAAAGCGTGACAGAGAGAGGAGATCCTTGCGGAATGCCATTCTTTAGCGGAAAGGAATCAGAAAGATGATTGTTGATTCTAACTTTGAACCGCCGATGCGACATGAATGATTTGATGTAGTTGAAGAATTTGGGTCCAACATTCCATGATTTCAAGAGTCTTAAGATAACATGAAGACCAACTCTGTCAAATGCTTTTTCGAAATCAATTGAGAGAATTGTTACGTGATTTCGTTCGGAAATTGCTTTGCTTGTGAAATAATCAATATGTAACAGAGCGTCGATGCATCCTCTACCCCGCTTGAAACCAACTTGTTGCTTTGTTATCAGGTTCTTGGATTCAAGAAACCAAGATAATCTAGATGCCAAAATCTTCTTTAAAACCTTAGAGAGGCAAGATAAAAGAGAAATTGGGCGATAATCAGATGCGATGGAGACATTTTTTGACTTTGGAATTGGAACAACTGTTGCCATTTTCCACATGTAGGGTATATGGCCAGTCATAAATACCGTATTATATAGGTCCAGTAATTTCTTTTTACTAGACTTAGACATAGCACTGATCATTTGGTATGAGATGCGGTCTAGACCAGGTGTCTTCCCCTTCAAATTGGAGAGACAACTTCCAAGTTCTGAGGTAGATACGCTATTTTCCAGGAACATGGCACATCCATCGATATTATTTGAAGGAGATATTGGAGTCCTTTTATTTTCAATGAAAGCACTGGAGAAGTTGCTGTCAGAGGAGTATTCGCACCACACTTTTCCAAAGTAATTAGAAATCTCATCTGCGTCAGTTAAAGTTCCATTGGGAGTGCAGATGGCAGAAATTTGGTTCAGGTTTGAAGTCCCATTAAGTCTGTTGATTTTGTTCCAGACAACTTTCATTGATGTATTTCTGTGAATTCGTCTGTAGAAAAGTTCGAAACTAAGTGCCTTTGATTTCCGTAATTCCTTCCTGAATAGAGCATTGGTCTTTTTGTATAATAACAAGTGATTCTGATCAGGACATCTCTTAAAGCGGTGCCATAGATCCATTTTATTTTTCCTCAAAAACGAAAGCGTGTTGTTCCACCATGGAACCCTAGCTCGTTTAAAAGAGGTGTTGGATTGAGGAATAGAAAGATGAGCAGCCGTGCGAATCGATTTAGACATAATAGCAGCATCATGGTTGCAGTTCCCGTTAAATGGCTTTGAGTTCAAAAATGACTCCACCTGTTTGGAGTAATTGATCCAATCCGCTTTATCTAGGAGGAATTTGGCCTGTTTTGCTGGAGTAGCAGAGGACGTTGAAAGTTTAAGATCGATTATGATTGGAAAGTGATCACTATTATGTAGATCATCAGAAATAGACCAGGACACCAAAGGAAGAAGTGATGGAGAGCAACATGTTAAATCAATATGTGAAAAAGTATGATGAGTTGAGAAGTGCGTTGGTTTTCCATCATTTAAAACGCAAAGGTTGCTTTGAAAAAAGGCCTTTTCTAAAACAGTACCGCGAGTGTTGTTCACTGTTGAGCCCCAGATGGTATTCCAGCTGTTGAAATCGCCGCATATAATTAATGGGGGGGAAAGTACGGAGAATAAACTGTAGAGTTCTTGCTGAGAAAACGATTGCGAAGGTGGAATATAGAGCGAAAGCACTGTAAATTTTATCTTTAACATTATTTGTATCGCTACGGCTTGTATATTTGAGCTTAAATTTATGCGTTTGTGAGGTATACTTGATTTTATAAAAACACCTACTCCTTGTTTGGAATATGAATTTTGATCAGCATTCGTGAAGTATCCAGTATATGATTTGGGTGGAATAGAATTAAAAGAGCTTCTACAATGGGTTTCTTGAAGCGATAAAAAGGTTGGATTAAAATCATTTATGAGTGTACGGAGTTCATCAAAATTATTAATAAGTCCCTTAATGTTCCATTGTAGAATTTTAAAAACTTTGTTTAATTGTAATGACATGTAAGCAGAGTGGAGGGAGGGTTAAGTTGACATGTCAGCGTCTCCGTCGAGAAGGTCACTATAGGAATTTTTCGTGAATGATTTATTCTTACCAGCAGAATAATCTGTATTTAGGTGATTTGGTACATTTGAAGCGCAACGGGTTGGCGCACGTGAATAATTTGAAATTGAAGGTTGATTTAGGGTTGAAAGAATGGATTCATTAACACTTGTGATTTGTTGAGTAAAGTTGAGAGCTGGAGATTCTGGAGAATTTGGTATATT